GGTTAAAAAAATAATAGTCACATAAATGTATTGGAAATATATATGCATTTGAATAATATTTGCATTAGATAAATATATACAGATTTATAACTATTCACTGTTATAATGGTATACGACACTAAGTTTTTATTATTTTTGCTGTTGCATTTTTGTTATTTTTTTGTAATAGCGCTTTTTAATGTTTTCTTTCTTCTTCTTGTGTATTATTATTTTTGGTTTTGTTTTCCTTTTTTATTATTAATTAAAAAGCATAAAAAGAAAAAAAAACTGTTCTGCTGTTTTTACAGTTATGTTTTGGGGTTTATGCCTTGTTAGCCGCCCAGATTTATTTGATTAAGAGGGGTGGCCACATAAATATGCAAAAAACAACAAACAAAGAAGATGGTGAGACTTAAGATTAAATCGAGGAGTTTTGCATTCTCCTTATTTTCCCCGCCCCCCACTTTCATCTTTTTAAGGAAACTCCCTTGCAGATGAGAGAGTTATTCTAAGTTTATTTTAAGTATTTAGTTATTTATATATAATTCAGTTCACCTGTATTTCTACTTTACAGCAGATTGCAGATTAAGAAAAGGAAGGGTATTCGAAGGCATGGAAGGAAACTTATGGTTTTTGTTTCAGCCTAGCTAGCTTTAGTGCTTCCTGGCCTTCCCTCAGCCAAGATAAACTTACCGCACAGGAGCCCTGGTGCAGCCAACCATACCATCATCACCACCGCAACATCTAGTTGTACCACCTTCAGGCTTCTCCCAGCTTGAACGATGGGTGCTTTTCTCCTCGTAGGCATGCTGGTTACTGCATGGTCTGTTATTCCTTGCAAACAGTCTGCCCCTTTCTCCTGATGGTGGGTAGGTAGACCTGATCTAACAAAGATGGGTTAGGCAGGGCCTCCCTGACTGCTCGAACTCAACGGCCTCTCTCCTCGAGGCACTTTCAAGAAGGGTGTGCACATTCTTTTCTTCTCTTTCACTTTCTTTCCACCTGCTTACCACAGAACATATTGACTCAGCAGGACACACACACATGTGCACATGCTTTATGTAGGTTGGCAGGTTTGTGCATACAAGCTGATTTGCAGGAAGAGATCCACTTCCTTTTTCTCATGGGAAAAAGGCTACACGTATGAGATCCAGGGCAACCCTCATTCCCTCCGGGTTGACTCTTAGAAGTAGGATAGCTGAGCTGCAAGGTTTCATTTAGTAATCGTATCACTCATAAACCTCACCAATATCTTTGCCTGCATATCTATGGTCCATGGATATTTTTAAAACTAAGGGTTTTGTGGCATCTTAAAAACTAACAAATTTAATATTGCAAGAGATTAGCAAACCACTCCTCTGGAATCAGATTTGCGTGCAGGTTTTGAATTACGATCCCTTTTAGCTGATGCATGCAATGATGTTAAGAACAACCATTTTGTGAAAGGACAAGATTAATAATCTAATTGTCATGATTTAAAGATGTTGTACATACTCAACTGTACTTATATTTTATAACCTTCTCTTCCCCAACCCTGCTTTTATATCAGGATAATCTTGAACTATCTAGTAGATAAAACAGAGTGTACTCTATGAAGAATCGGAACATAATAAATTACATGTTCTCTGTGTCATCTTTTAAGAAAGTAGAAGAAAAATTCCTGTAATAATTATTTTCCTTTGGTTAAGAAAAACAAAGATATCTGCTTACTCTACACAAGCATCTTCAAGAGCTGGGGGAAGCCCCACCTGCATGCTGGGGAGAAAGCCACTTCCCTTGAATACGTTAGCCTTTGCAGAAAAAGAACTAGCTTTACTAGGTCAGAAATGTGGTGGGTAGCTTAAGCTCAGTGAGTCAGATTTTTAACCACGTTTTCCTGTCCCAATTAAGGGAACAAAGCAGTTTTATTCACTTGTATCCTTGGTGGGGAGGGTATACTGGCCAACTGGAATTGGAGAAGATGAGATCAGCCAATGGCATATTTTAGTCTAGCATTTTGTTTCCTGGATTGGCCAAACAGTTACCTCAGGAGTGCTTAAGGGCAAGAGATGGAGACATATCCCTTCTCCCGCTGTTGCCCCTTGCAATTGGTTTTTGGAGGCATGCTGCCCCCTGCCCAGAAGCAGCATTCAAACTTCAAGACAAATAGCCCTTGATAAGCCAGTCCTTCATGAATTTGTCCAATCATCTTTTAAAATCATTTAGGTGAGCCGCCATCTGTCACTGTATCTTGTGGTAATGAATACTGGAGTTTAACTCTGGACTGTGAAAAGGAGTGCTTTCTGTTGTCTGTTCTCAATCTCCTACCAGTCAACTTCATTGGATGATCCCTATTCCTAGGGTTTTGAAAGAAGAAAAATCTCTCCCATTCAATTTTCTCCATGCCATGCATGATTATATAGACCCCAACCACATCCCCCTTCAGTTATTTTTTTTTTCAAACTAAATAGTCCCAAATGTTTCAGCTTGTCTTTTGGAAGGTGTTTGCATCCCCTGATAATGTAAATTGCCCTCTTCTGCACATTCCCAGATTTATTATATCCTTTTTCAAATGGAACAACCAGAACTGTATACAGTATTCCAGATGTGGACATCTCATAGGTTTGTAGCATGTTTATTCTTGGTCCCATTTCTGATGAGAGCACCAGGTGGTGTAGAGGTTAAGGCATCAGGCTAGAAACCGGGAGACTGTGAGTTCTAGTCCCACCTTAGGCACGGAGCCAGCTGGGTGACCTTGGGCCAGTCGGTCTCTCTCTCTGCCCTAGGAAGGAGGCAATGGCAAACCACTTCTGAAAAACCTTGCCAAGAAAACTGCAGGGACTTGTCTAGGCAGTTGTCAGGAGTTGACACTGACTTGAAGGCACACACATACATACACACTCCTAATGATCTCTAGCACAGAATTTGCCTTTTTTGGAGCTGTTGCACACTGTGTCAACATCTTCATCATATTCACTATGACCCCAACATCTTTTCCTGAGTAGTTGCAGACAGCTCAAACCCCGTTAGTGTATTTGTGAAGTTAGAGGTTTTAGCCTCAGAGTACATCACGTTCCCAGAGGTCTGATAAGAGGCACAAATGACCAGGCTCAAATTATCCTACCTCGGATACGTTATGCAAAGACCCAGCTCTCTGGAAAGGGCTATAATGTTGGGACAGGTGGAAGGAAAGAGAAGAGGGTGACCAGCAGCAAGGGGGATGGACTCACTTACAGTGGAGATGGGGCCCTGTTGGAAGACCTGAAAGACCAAGTTAGGGACAGATCGTCATGGAGAAAATCTATCAATGTGGTCACTAAGAGTTGTCGTTGATTTGATGGCACATAATCAATCAAATACTACTTCACGCCTACCAAAGTGCAAGGGTAAATTGAACTGAAAGTGAATTACTAGATTAAATTGTATTTGCTGTTCACCCAGTTTAAACACAGCTGTGGGCTACCACAGTCATACATAACACTGACAACGGCAAGAATCAATTTGACACAACACTGCAAAAGAGAAACCTTGCTGGCAATGTGAGATGGGAAGACCAAAACTGGAGAGTATAGGGCAATGGAAATATTCATAACACAAGTCTAACCAAATTCAAGCAGGAATGGCTCTCTTCTATCTAACATGTCACCCAGCAAAACAAGTTAAGACACTTAGAATATGGTTTTTGAAGAAAAAGAGAAATGGTTTAAAAACAATTAAAACAATCTAAACAGAAATGAGTAATAATCATAGAAGTTTAAAGCTCAGTATTAAAATACTTAAGTAGCAGTTAGTGGTCAAGGAAACAAGAAAAGAAAGGAGGGGGAAAAGAATAAAAGGGGGCCTTTTTTCCTTTCAGACACATTTTTTTTCTTTTTTTAAAATTTTCCTTAATATTATATTAAATCTCATTTTTTGAATTCTCACTTCAGCCCACCTCAATTTAATGCTTATGCAACAGCAATAGTGATATTATTTTTTTAAAAAGATCAATAACAACATAGATGAGTTAGTGATGACACTGCTATGTATGCATATAATTATATGTATATATTCTATCCCTTTCCCCTTTTTTGTTTTCTTTGCTTTCCTTGTTGCTTTTTACTTACAGTAATTAATTTTAAAAATCTTATATAACACAAATTACTTTGGAGCCTTCTGCGTTCTGCTCTTATTACATACAAATGTTGCTAATAGAAGATATAATTCATTATTTATGTCTGTGGCAAAAGCTGTTCTTAAATGCAATATTTGTAGACTGATGTATGTTTAGAGATTTATTTTTTAAAAAAGCACAATTAGAAACACATTTACCAAAAAAAAAACAACAACCACCATTTAAAATGTTCAAAGAGTCTCAAAGAACAGGACCATCACATTTCTGTCTCTCTCTTTCTCCAGCCCAAAGATAAATAATACTGATCTAGTACCAGGCAGCTTCCTAACTGACACAACTGAGTTGTGCATCAGTGGAGACCAACCTCTCAACCAAGGAAGGGGCAATATTCCAGCAAGGTTGGAGCTGCAGGTCGAGATGGGCAGAGAGGTCTGTTCGTTGGGATGGTGTCAAGCCCAAGGGTGCTAGAAAGGTTCTTTGATCTCTGCAGGTGCACATCAGAAACAAAGCATCTCAATGTTCATCAGCTGTTTCATCTCCAGACAAGCTGTGCACAACCACACACCCGAATGGGTGAGTCACATAGCAGTCTTAGTGACATTGCCAGGTGCTGAAACAAATGTGAACAGAGGAAATGGTGCCAGGAAACAGGGCCCAGCAAAGACACCCCTACACCAACATAACAGGGTGAAGAAAGATGAGATCCTCATTCCAAGCTGGAAGCAAAGGCATCAGGTAAAACTGGGAACTTTGACTTCAGAGTATGAAGTAAAGCAGGAGACATATTGTTAGATTTCGGACAAAGAAATTCAAATTTAAGGCAAATACCTTCTTCCAACTACTTACAAGATGTCTCTATACACAGACATCATCAGCTGGACAAGACCCAAATCAAACTGACTACGTACTCTGTGAGCAGAGATGGAAAAGTTCTACTTTGTCAGCCAAAACAAGACCTGTGCTGATTCCAGCTCAGATCATGAACTATTTTTGGCAAAATTACAAGTTAAACTAAGGAAAAATAAATATATGGTGAAGATTAAAAATAGATTTAATGGACTGGATTTGATAAATAAAATGCCTGAAGAACCCTGGGGTGAAATGCATGACATCATCAAAATGGAGGAAACTGAAACATCCTGAAATGCAAAAAAGCAAAAGAAGGCAAAATGGCTGTTGATATGTTGAAAATATTTGAAACACGCTAGAAAGAAAAGACATCTGAGACAGAGGACAATTTGCCCAGTCAAACATTGAGTTCCGAAGAACAAGAAGAGTCAGAGTGTTACATCTACATAAGCAATGCAAAGAAATTGAGGCCAACCGTTGAATGGGAAGGCCAAGAGATTTATTTAGGAAAAATAGAGAAATCAAGGGAAACTTTATACAAAGATGAACATCATAAAAGTCAAAGAAGACAAAAGATTAGAGTTATTGGAGATACAAAGAACAGATGATTGGAATAAATAGAAATGCACAAAAGATCTTAGTTAATAATACATATGAAGGTTTGGTCACTGAGCTAGACAAGGTAGCCAGAGGATATGGTTAAAAAAGGTGAAGTTGGCAGCCACAATGGTGCAACTGAAGCTCCCCTTGTTTTTTACATGCATTGCACATCTTGACTTTTTAAACCATACCCCGTGGACACCCCTGCAACTAGAAATGGACAACCTGGAAAGTGGAGTTAAATGGGGCCTAGAAAATATGGTTAAGAACAAAGCTGCAGTTGTTTGCAGCTGCAGTCTTATAAGAAGTGCAAATGAAGTGTTACTGTTCGTCGGCAGGTATGGAAAACACAGCAGTGACCAAGGGACGGAAAGGATCAACTGATATTCCAATATCCAAGAAAGGCAGTGCTAAAGAATGTTCAAACTACCAAACAACGGTGCTTATTTCACAATGAATAAGATAACACTCAAGAGTGCAATCCAGAGTTTAAAAATACAGTATATGGAAGGAGAACTGCTAGATTTACAAGCTGTATTCAGAAGAGTCAGGGCCGCTGAGTTCACATTAGTAACGTCCAGTCAGTAGCAGAAAAGGCAAAGGAGTTCTGAAAACGTCTCTGTTTTTGCCTTACTGATTAAATAAAGGCTTTTGACTGCACAGACCACAACAAATATGGGTAATCAGGCCACCTCATCAGTTTACCAAAGAATGTGTAGGATGACCAGGAAGCAACAGTTACAGTTTAGCCCAGTGTTTCTCAACCTTGGCAACTTTAAGATGTGAGCATTTCAACTCTCAGAATTCCCCAGCCAGCCTTGCTGGCTGGGGA